CACATTTTCTAAGTCAACCACTTTCAAACCCCATATCTCTCACACCCTTATAGCTATCGAGACACAACCACCATAGTGCATGATGGGAGACTTGGGGCTACTACCATACACAAACACCATTCATGTGCGATGTGTAGTTTTGGCTGCAGAGTGACATATAGACACAAACATGTCCATTTATATATATATATATATATAGATGAATAACAATGCATCACTATAGTAAAAGCTTAGTATAAAAAAACGGCAAATAAGCAGAGAAACCAACTCAAGGATGAATTGAATAGAACTCCAATAAAAAAATATTTCACAGCAAGATACATCTCCCTACTGTATTCTTATAACATATGAATGCCTACATTCTTTATATTGAGAAATTCAAGCATATACTAATACACAAATCGCTTACAGATGTAAGCTGATACATTCAAAATGCTTAGGAATGAAAAGGATCAAGCAGACATAGAATGAACACTGGGAGTATATAAAATTCCACACAAGGATAACAGATTTAATAGAGACCTTGTATACATCAGGTCTACAATATCTCTCAAACAACACCTCTCTGAACACAAAACAGATATTGAAAAGAAGAGAAAACCATTGCCTTGGCTATATATGTCAGTGAGCTATGTAAAAAACAAATCTCAATGGCATGGCAAGCTATGTACGACCTGACACTATAACAAATGATGCATGCGCACATATTTAAAATTTCATAAAAAGAAACATTCGAAATTCAAATACATTGCAGGTAAATAGAACACTACAAACACCAGAAAGAATCTTTTTTCAAATATCTGTCTGAAGAAGGTCATAGATGTGGACTGAAAATGTCAGTGAAAATTTACAAAAGTAAGTGCAAAGTGCAATAAGGTTAGTATGTTTTGTTTATAATTACATACCCAATGATAAAACTTGAAGTGTAAAAGTGAGCCTTTCTGAAGGGAAAATCACTTTCCTGAGAAGAGTATTTCTTAATAATTATTTAATGGAGAAACTCTTTCTAATAAATATTTGTAGTTTTCATGAGATATATATAAAAAACATTATTATATGAAGTTGTATTCATCTCCAGTTAATTCTTTTAATCATCTTGCAAGAACTCAATATCCATTTTCTAACCCAAATACTACTTTTCTTAATTTTCTCTTTTGACTTGTTAATAATATAGCCAGATGGATGGCTGAGATAGCTAAGGCAGCCAGTAGTAGACTGGCTCAGGACATCTGGGATCGAATCTGGGCAGGTCTAAAAAACCCCAGGAATTTTTCTGGTTGTGGTTTGACCAGATGTTAGGTTCTATTTGCCATTTGGCTGCCCCACTTCAGCATGAAGAAATCCATGATAGGCTTGAAGAAAAGGCTCTCTTAGTTTTCTGGGGCAGAAAGAATAAAAAAAAAAGAGAGTGAGAAATCTGAGTGGAGTTGATTTAACACTTCTCTAGTGAGAGCAAGTTTTAGTATAGTATATACATAATTTTAGATTTATCTTGCTAGCAAAAGGAAAATGTCACTGGAATTTTCTCTAAAGCGTACACATGGCTTTAGAGCTAGTTTTATGGTGTTTGAGATGATGTTTTCTAATTTTTTTTAAATAAAACATAGCTCTCTAGAATTGATCATGCCCAATGAGAAGATGCAAAGCTCTAGATTGCCCATAATTGCCGAGGTATTGCAAGATTTAATTGGTACAAAATTAAAAGTATGCTTACTGCAGACATGCTCAAATTTCTTTTTATCTGTGTTAAGTAATTTACTCATAACTTCTGTATATATGGCACCTTGTGTGTTTTTATGCAATTTGCTGTGAAGCTTGGATCAGAGACAAATTGTCTCCCTTGGATCAAAGTTGAGCCTGTATCAATATTTTCTAGAAATATGTGAATAATATATATACTGTAATTTCTTTTTGAATAAACTTCTTCAAGTTATTTATTATAATTGCTATTTAAAATGTCTACATTCTTTATTTTATCAAATTTAGTTTCGATAGAAGAATAAAGAAGGAAATTTAATAAATTTAGAGTCTGGAAAATTTTTCTTTCAAAAATTGTCTTTCATTATTTAAGTCAGAGATATATTGATCTAAATTATTAAATAATTTATTATAATCTAGTAAATATTTTAGTAAATTATTAAATATATTATGACCCCAATTTACACATGTACTTTGTTCCTAAAAACATCTCATAAATAATAATTTTGAGTGATATTACTTTAGATAAAAAATTAAATTGAATAAATTATTTAACAAAAGAAAAATGTCAATATTTAAAAAAAAACAATAATTAATCAATCAAAAATATTGAAATTTACCTCCAAAAAATTTTACAAACTATTTACTGACTTAAAATTTTAATGTTAGTCTTCAAAATAAATTGAATTTAAATTGTCATTTAATTGAATGATAACGCCAGATTCATTGGGTCGTAACTTGGCTGATTAAATATATAGATGTAAAGTAATTTGGACTAAAGGTATACGATTAAATCTCCATCCTGTATTAATTTTTATTAATTAGAATTTAATTAATTTAGGATATTCTGGATGAAAAGATCAATTTGGAGATGATTCAAACTTGCAACGCCTTACCATGCACAAGCACTGCCAATCATGCAACTTGAACATCTCTTCAACTTCATATTTGCATACCAATTAATTTAGAAGATTTAACCATACTGGTCCCCTGCTGTGCCCTTAGTCCTCCATTTGATTAATTTATAATTTCAGGCTTAGTTTACTTTACAGCTATGCCATTTGACAAAAAATATTCTATAAGTTTTATTCATTATAATTAAAGAAAAATATTGATTTAAAGATATTAATTTATGCAATATTTGTTAGGATTACATTTTGAATTTGTTTAGGAATTGTTTTAATATTCTGTGAGACATTTTAAACATGTTAGTAATTAAAATGTGATGATTATAAAAGTGAAGAAAGCATTAAAATCTTGGTTCCATCCTCTGTTTTCTAATAAAATTTTCACCTTGTATGACTGCTATTTCATAAATAGTATAAAAATAGAAGACACAACACAATATAAATATAAAAATGAATTTTAATAAGGAAAAGATTTTTGGAAAATTTTCTGGTGTTTTTTTCTTTTTTCTTGGAGGGTGCGCCTCTGTGTTCTTTGGTTCCCTCTCTTGTGCACCACTGATTACATATTGAGACTTACATTTATACAAGAAGTGGAAGGATCAATTCAAACTCCCATTTTTTATTAATCAGTACAAAATGAATAATCAAATTTTATATTTATTATACAAGGAGTGTCCAGAAAATAAAGAACATTTGTGCATAGCACTCTGTGCAGATAATTTACTGCCATCAATTTAAGATCAGTTTGTTCTCTGATGTGTTACCTTAGCACAGGTAGAGTTTTGATAATGGCAAGCTTGTTTGATTGTTTTATTAATGGCCATCAACATTTATTGTAAATACTAGTTTTATTATACACAGAATGGGAAATATAGCCTGATTAGGAAATCAAGATTTATTGGTTTATATTAGCTGGGGAATGCATTTTAGACCTTGCCCCTCATTAGCCTCTATACAAGTTATACGTTGTATGTAAATGTATAACTTGTATAGAGGCTGATGAGGAACAAAAGGGTCCAAAATGCATTTCCAGTTAATATAAACCAATAAACATTGACAATTTCCTGATCAGGCTATATTTCTTATTCTGTGCATAATAAGTCTGGTATTTACAATGAGTTGTTGATGGCGTTTAATAAAACTAATAAATGGCAAGCTTATTGTTACTATTCTGTCAAGAGTTAAAATGTGTACTATAATCGAAAATCCCACCAAATGTGAAGTGTTATTTATTTTCTAAATGCAAAAAAAGTTTATGCTTATCCTGTAGAAATTCATAAACAATCACAGAAGTTTATGGTGATCACATTATGAATGAAGCAAATGCGAGAAATGTTTAATCACAGAAGATAACATGCTACCATGTTCTACTGCAGCTGTTTATGCTGTGCTTCAGAAATTTGGCTGGGATGTTTTCGACCATCCACCATATGGACCCAACCTGCCCCAGTGACTTTCATCTCTTTTCCAAGCTGAAAGAGTTTTTGGGTGGATTTGGAATGTTTTGGAATGATTGAGAGGTGAAAGAAGCTGTCACTAACTCGCTGAAAGCACTGATGGTGGAAGTGTGACAAAGGAATACAAAAACTAGTGTGAAGCTATTTAAAGTCCTTTAATCATAATGGTGACTATGTAGGAAAGTAACTGGTCTTATACTAATTAGTAATGATATAAAAAAGAAAAAAAAACAATAAAACCTTTTTCCTATCTAAATGTTCTTTATTTTCTGGATGTCCTTTATATAATTTCTGTATGCAAAATGATCTTTAATCTTTATTAGTATATAAATATGTAATTAATGAAAATGAAATTATTTTCTCTTTATTCTTTACAAAGAAACAATTATCCTTTTTTTTCAGTTGGAAATTTTGTGTCATTCTGTTACTAACTTCTTTGGTCCCATTTTTTTTATTTGCCAAAGATGATGATGGTCTTATTTATCTCAATAAAATCTAATATTAAAATCTGTTTTTTTATTTCTGTTTAATTCTTTATACATTTCCTGATACGGAGCTATGTTTAATGTATATATACAGTGTAAAGTTGAGATGTAGTACACAATAGGGAATCTCATCTCTTTGGATGTGTAAGTTGTGGCAATATGATTATAATTCCGTAATACTTAGCATAGACCTAAACATTAATTTTATCAACAAAATACTTAATTTTAAAAAAGTATTTTAGAATATTCTTCAGAATTTTATTTTAAACTGAAATTCTATTGTATAAAACAAAATATTTTCACATTTCTCCAACCGTGTTAAATCAAAATTGTGCCATTCGAGTACCATGAAAATCAAGGATCGAGTGTATAGTTCCAATATTTTCACTGCAATTTTCTTTTTATCGAAAATAGTACACGATACATATAAAAAACGAGAGAACAATACAAGATTTCTACTTCTAAAAATTTTATTTATCATCATACAGATGCGTACAGATGACAAACTAATTGCCAATTATTGATTTATACAGTTTCACATCAAGATTGTTAACTATTATTTAATTATTTTTTTTTGTTTGGATAGATGATAACAATGACAGGACTTCAATTTTTGCAAATGGAGAGAACATGTTAAATTGTATAAACTCTCTAAAACATAGTTTTATTAATAAAAGTAGGAAGATAATTAACAAATATGGAAAATTAAATATTTTCTAATATATTCTGTTGGGAGATTTGTTAATCTCTGACATTTTCTTGGTCAAGTTACGTCTGGTCGGAAATGAAAATGACATATGCAAGCGTTAATAAAAGAAATAAAGAAATAAGCTGGTGGAAATAAATATGATGCTAATATTTTTGAATTTTTCATTTTTAGTTTTAATCTACACAACTAGCAAAAATGATATTTTTTTAAATTTGAAAACTATAATTCACATTTGACACATTCTAAACATCAAAACCAAATGAAGTGAATTTTTTATTGCACTACTAAATGTATTTTCTCTTTTGGTTGGTTTAGTATATTTATGAATATGGATATATATTTATATATATATTATATACGTTATATATACACTCTTTTCTATCTTTACACAAATACAATTTGGCAGTCTGTATAATATACATAGTTTCTACATTTTACATAATAATTAGCAAGGAATTCTGCTGTAAGAACAATATAATGGAAATGGTATTGCAACGATGATAAATGTTAAATTGTCATCGATCATTTCTTGTTTTATTTGTGTTTTGTCTCTGTATGACTGATAAATGTCCATTTGTATGTGTACTATTTAATTATACTATTATATATTATTATTAGTTTTTTTCCTCGTATGTTTTTGGTCTTCTTTGTCGGCTGTGAAGATTTTGATCTCACGAAGGCCGCGAATCGGGTTGTGTTTGATTTGTCCAATTTAAAAGAGAAAGAAAGAACCAGACTGATAAGATTTTACGTTATTGTAGTTATTTTCTATATTTACATTTATTATTGTTTTAAGAAATATTAATGAGTAACCTAAAGTTAAAAAACTAATCTGCACAGCCCAAGTCAAAACTTCCATTTAATGTGCTTATTTTGTATTCTATTTCTGAATGATATGTTGACAATTAAAATTAACTGAAACTTTATAATTGTTGCATAGAACCTATTAAAGAAAAAAACTCTTAATAACTATTTTAGTCTTTTAAATTTAGATCTTTTGTTTAAAAAAACAAGATTAGATCTTAGTATTTTGATTTGAGGATTCTCAATGAGATAAACTGTGTATTGACTTGAATATTCCATGCTAACATCACTTGATGGCATGTAATTAAAATCACAGATCTTAACTGCTTGAGCAGAATAACAATTTTGCTACAGATATTCAACACAACAACAAACATCCAGGTATTTTTTCATTTTTTTTTTCCATCTCTCCCCTCTCCCTCTTTATTCGACACAAACTTTCTTCCTGGAGGGATAAAAGTGCATATCTGAATAGCAAGGGACGGAATACATCGTAAACAATTTTCTTGTATTATCATATAAATTTGGAGAATATAATCATATTCCTTCTGTAATAATCCCATAATAGTAAATGAGTGAAGACACCCAAAACTTCACGCTAGTTAAATCTGGGATTCACAGCTTGTGAGGACAAGGGATTGAAACTCAAGTCAAGTAATAAAAACGGATAAAAATTAAAATAATAAATAGTTTTGGTCCATTCTCTAGTGTTAGCTTTTTAATTAAAGGACAAAAGTTTGTTCTCAGGCAACTACAGTGAGCAAATGTGCATTTGGTTATATAAAACTAACACTGATTTTACAACTAGGCATGCACGGAAAGGAAAAGAGCATAGAAAGCATATAACATTAAATGTTAACATTCTACAATTTTCATTTCATCACAAAATCTTCACAGCATTCTCAAGGCACTCGGTCCTGAAATTTATTGTCGACAGTTTGAAAAAATTAACTAACAAAAAAAGAGGTTATGATAAAGAATGCAAATGTAATACTGGATAAAAATGTCATCTGTGTTATTGAGATTGTTTGTATCGCTAAGCCATTTTTATCATCTTTACAGTAGGAGATAAAGTATAAAAGTTATTTCTGCTTTTTATTTTTCGTTGTTATTGGAGACGAGACATAAAACATTAGAAATAACTGAAAAGTGTTGTCTGTGGTAAGTCTTTTTAAAAATCCTTTCTTAGATAATCCTAATACTGATGGTAAATGCCGAGGGAATTTATAAAATTGAACTAAAAATTAAATAATAGATGTGTATTTGTTTTTTGAACCAAGGCACTCTTTCTAGAAATATTTTTCTGGATCGTTGTACATAGGTTTTTCGTTGAAAATCACCTCCGGGCCATATACAATCCTAACCTGAGTTAATTCATGTAAAAGGTATTTATATATATTATATATATAGATATATATAATTTATACTGTACATATAATTGAGAAATATCTCAAACATTCTTTCCTCATAAACTCTTGATTATTTAACATTTTTTTTTCAACTTTTCATAAAATATACCTTTTAACATCATTAGAGTTAACGTGACATATATGTACACTTTATCTCTTATGTACAGGTTATTTTTCTCACTTCATATAGAAATATCCACTAGTGGATTAATTCCATTCTACATTGTGTTGAATCCTTCCTTCTGTATCATTTTCTGTATGAAAGGAGGATAACAATGTTGAATTGTTCTTAGTTTCCTGATGAGAAAGTACTCATAATGTTGGTGCAAGATATGACTCCATATTCCAACATAAGACTGACAGCAATGAAGACAAAGTACAAAAGAAACATAACCACTGCTAATCCAACATTCATTTTCCATTTAAAAAGAGCTATGGAAACTATGACAAATATCAGCATCATAAAAAGTAGAAAGATCGAACATGCCATTCCTACACTGCTTACGTGTACAGAACCACTTATCAAACATGCTAACAACCAGGGTAAAGGAAGACTGCAAGAGAAAAGAATGACTTAGGCTTTGCTTCCATTTTGGGTGCCAGAATTCAAGACATTGCCATACTTACCCGACTGCTATGTCGAAAATATTGCTTCCGACGGAACTTGAAACGGCCATGTCCCCGAAACCTTTCCTCGCAACTAGGACACTTGTAATTAGGTCGGGTATACTGGTTCCCGCAGCTAAAAACGTCAACCCCATAACCTAAAATAAATCAAATACTAAATAATAATAATGTAATTAAAAATAAAGATAGCTTTACTCAAAAATACATACACTATTGATAGTCATTTGAATCATACAGGAAAAAATATAAACCAAAAAATCTTTTCCAGATCTTATTTTTCACATAATGAGTTATTTAATTTTTTGAAAATCAAAAAATTAAATAACTCATTAAAATTATGAAATTCTTATTATTAGATGCTTGTTGCAATGAAATTATAATCATATATGAGCAATTATTTATTGTGATATTGTCACAATGCCAGGCTGCAATTTTTAATCATATATTCTCGCCACCTCAAATTAATAGATCACCAAACCTAAGAATATTTAGGGGAGTGATCTATTCTAGAAATGTTGAGCCCTGTTCATTGCCATTCCAGCCACCTCATTGTGGGTCTGGCTAAACCTGCCATAGGCTTGAAAAAAGGTCCTGTTAGTGCTCATAGAGTGGAGATAAAAATAAAAAAAATCTATATAGAATTTACACTCAAGGACTGATGTAGGTTAAGAAATATGTTAAAACATAGATTAGATTCACAAGAAGAATGCCAACAAGTGGCAGACAAAAGCTGCCAAGTTTTTTCAAAAGCTGAAAAATTTGCCAGATTTATAGCCAATTGCCAGCATAACTTTATGGACACTGAACAAGACAATTTGGCACAAAGTAGCCAAATGTGTCCTGGTCTTTAGAAAGAAATGATGCCTGAGACTATTGATAGTCAGGAATGTGGAAAATTTTTCCAAATGCCATAAAAAAAGAGTGTTTATCATAAGTTTTCTTATAAGCTTTTAACTGATAAGACCTTTAAACTGGATAATTATCCAGTTTTAAGGTCTTATCAATTAAAAGCTTATAAGAAAACCTTGATTTTGATTTTGGACACTTCTCTACCTTGATTTTTGGACACTTTTTGTCCAAAAATCAAGGTAGAGAGGTGTCCAAGATAGAGGAGTATCATATAGGTGTAAAAGTACAGGGATTTATCTGGTTTATGTGAAAGTGTTCAAGATATGGAGGTGTTCAGGATATAGAGGTGTCCAAATTGACATGTTTTACTGTACTTTATTATTGACAATATGAGTTGGGACATTTTCCCAATCCCTCATCCATGTGGGTCAAAATCATCTATAATAGTCAAAATTGTGGCTGGCTATATAACTTACAATACTGGTGTCTGCATCAATCAGTTAATAATTATAACAATTGGATATGACAAGCTATATCTTATGGAATATCTCTCTGAAATTTTTAACATTTTACTATTAATTTAATTACATTTGCAGTGTTTAATACTAACATGATAATTACTGTATCTTCAATTTAAATTATAAAGAATCATTTTGAAGTTCATCAAGCAAATATTTTGGAGGAGTTATATCATCCCAACAAATCAATTGTTTATACAGGTCTAGGTTCATTTTCTATATAAAAGATACATTTAAATTCCTTAATCTATTTAAACTATAGATTGGTATTTTGGCTACCAATCTGTATTTTAAATAGATTAAGAATAAATGGATCTTTTGTATGAAAAACATACTGAAGATCTATGCGAAAGTTACATAGTGTATGCATGTATATTATAGATATAATCTATTGGAGTTATTTGACTTTAAATTATTGATGCTAAACAAGTAGTTAACCAAAGAAGTTAAAAATAATTTATTTATTTATTTTAGAAATTTTAATAGACTTGTTATATTTTTGAACTTAAACAGTAAATATAGTATTGAGATTTCAAGATTTTTATTGCAAATACCAGTTATTATTGTGCTTTTGTATATTAAAAATGTTATTTTTGTAAGAGTAATATATAGATAAATTAATTTATTTTATGTTGAAAATTGACTAAATTTAAATTATTTAAATCCAAGTTAATTGTGTAAATGGCATAGATAAAAACTCTACATCTGGAAAAATTGGAAAATATGTTGCCCTAGTTACCAAGAGAAACAGCAGATGGAATTAATTTTTTTTTATGATATTATTCTAGAACATATCATTAAATAAAAAAATTTATAGAAAATTAGTAACAGTTCTTTTAAGAAAATGTGTGTGAACAATTTGATACTTTTGTTGAAAATAATTTTTAATTTTAATGCATTTTTTTTTTACAAAAGATGTAATGTCTTTTATAAAAAAAATGGACATTTATAACTTGAAATTAATAGAACAATTTGATACTTTTGTTGAAAATAATTTTTAATTTTAATGCATTTTTTTTTTACAAAAGATGTAATGTCTTTTATAAAAAAAATGGACATTTATAACTTGAAATTAATAGAGAAATTTTCATATTATTTTGCAAATTATCATAACATTAAAACTGTGTGTGTGCATTTTATTTTTATACAATATGATATATAATTCTTGGAGGCATTTATTTCTTGGAGGCAAAGCCATATTGATGAGATTAGAGTTGTTCTTGGTCTATTGTTCTCTCTTAGCATAGAGGCACTTTGATGAAAATGAATAAGTTAACATGCACATATTGCAGTTCAGACAGAATTTTCATTTCAAATTTCGAAGTAGTCATATTTTGAACTAACAGAATTTCTTAACATGCAAGTCTCTATACCCCTGGCTGGAACAAAAGTACAGTTATGAACTAATGGGATTTCAAACTATCCGAGTTCAAATTAACAAGAATTTCCTGTAATACTTTATTACTCATTTCAACTTGAGATTCATTCAATTTTCTTTTTGTTGACTTCATTCAGATCAGATATTGAGGCCATCCTAATGCTATCTTTGATAACTATAGTAATTGTATTATAGAAAATGGATTTTCATATTTATTGCAGATCTAATTGGTGAAGTGTTTTCCATGTTCCATTCACACATGCTATGTATCCCATTCTTTTCAAGTCCTCATGGAGAATAAATCATCAGATGACATAGCTTTGATATTGCATAAACTCAAAAAGAACTCACTGTAATTTCATTAGAATTGAAATGGGATAATTGAATAGAAAAGCATTTAAATTATCATATTTTAACTATGTTTATTTAAACATTCTAATATTTATAAAATATCTTAAAGCAAAAATATTAAATTTAAATATATAAAAAAGTACATATAAACAGAAAACAAATATCAATATTATAATTTCTTATTAAGATGATGTATATTTCACAGATCATTTAAATAAAATGAAGGAATGTTCCTGGATGGGATGTCAAGAAATAATTTTAGTTTTACATCATATATTTCAACTTATAACATCTAGAATAAAAACTTTTAAGCTAGACCAGTCTCTATAAAAAAGCTATCTTTATTTATCTTTTTAGCCACTTTTATGTCTAATCTATTAATTGCAATAGACTTTTATACCAGTCGACCCCCCCTATAACACTGTTGATAAATCCGTTTTATATGAATTCCATGTTGTACGAGTTACTTAGATTTTATAAATACGTGTGTCGGGCTATGAACAACTTACCCGTATTTGTAAAATCTAAACGACTCGTACAACACGGAATTCATATAAAACGGAATTATCAACAGTGTTATAGAGGGGTCGACTGTACTATAGATCCATTAAACATTTGTTATTTAAATTGCCAATGTGCAATCTACATGACAAAAACAGATTAAATGTATTTATTGATGATTTAAACCATTAAAAAACTAGTCAATACTTAAATTATATATATTTTTTTAATGTAAAATAATGAAATATTGTAAATTACCTCATTCGGTATGTTTATGGTTTCTCCGACTAGAGTTGCCCACCAGACCATTAAATAAGAAAATATTGCAATCCACATGATACTCCCTAGAAATCCCCAAGGAAACCATTTCCTTTTTTCCTACAAAAATTAAAAGTACAATTGATTGATTAATTGAATAATCATTGATTAGTTTTGAATAATAGAGATTTGTAAAGTCATCTACATACCGGTCGCCTGACATCTGGTAATGTTATCCATAATGGGAAAACTATGGGAGCAACCAGAATGTAATTAATACGTTTATGACATGTGTCAGGCCATGAGAGATCTAGAGGTTCATCTGGTTCATCTGGGTCTTGTGGTTCCTTATAAAACACATTAAAATATTATAAAATAAATATAAATAATGTTACATTGAAGAATATATTTAAGAATAAGAAAGCACACATTCCACAGGCTCCAAATATCATTCATCAGATTTCTAAACTTTTACGTGAACTTCAAATGCCTTTGTAATAGTAAAGATTTTAACCATATAAAATTATTTACAAATATTTTTTCAAGAAAAATTTTAATGCTTGAAATTTTGTTTCAGGACAAATTCTTTTTCCAATTACATAATTTTATAATAGAAAATAATCAATATGAGATTTTAAGTTTCTACTTAAGTAGAGCTATATGATGGATGAATAATGCACCTAAAAATAGATTTGAAAGTAAGAATGGTTGCCAAGTGTTAATCAAAATAATTAATCAGATAGAGAAAAGTAATTATAGTTTTATTATAAGTGCAGTAGATGCCAAAATACAGAATGAAAATAGAATTAATAGATACACTAATTTTAAAGACCAAGAAGAATTCTTTGGAAATACTACAGTTTATTCAGAGTAATCTTTGCACAAGAGAACAGTTTATTACTGATGAAACTGTCATATAAAATTTGACATTCAAAAAATATTATCCTAAATTTTAATTATTAAGTTATACATGAGAGTTATTTAAAGAAGTTAACAGACTTTAGGGTCTCAGCACTCAAACTTTAGGGTCTTTTCCAACTTATTTTTCAGTTTATGTTCCATTAAAACAAATATTTCTCATGTGTTTTATGTTTTGGAGTCTTTTATATAAGTTAACAGTTTTTTGATATTTTTGATGTTTTCAGGATTGTTTTATTTTCATCTTCAGAAGAAATTTGGAATTATGTATTGCTTCTGGGATGAAGAAGAATGAATTTTAAAAAGTATGAAAAACTTTTGCTTACTTTAAATATAGAAAATATAATGAATATAGAGCAAAACGTTGAATTTATTTTTAAAAATTATGAAATTTGAGTAACTAATTCAAAATATCATTTCAATGAAAAATAAATTTGATTTATAAAGTTTAATAAATTAAAGAGAAATTATGAAAGTTGATAATAAAAAAGAAAAAAAAAACTATATAATTTAATAGTAGTCAGATAACTAAAAAAAACTGTCACCATAAATCTTTAGCAAAGTAATTTATAGAACAATAAACAGAGAACGTGGGAAATAGAACATAGAAACAGTAAATGCATTAAGAGAAAAGCATTTACTGCTTTTTCTACATTCTTTTATTATTTTACTTAGTGTTACCTGATAAAGACCATTAAATATGGTCAAAAATGTTAGTTGCAAATAAATTACTGTGATAGAGATTTATGGTGACAGTTTTTTTATTTTCATTTTATTTAGTTGAGCTTTATTTACATTTTGAATAGTAAGATATTTTCTGAATTATGAGGGATAAATGATTTAAATAAGTACTAACTTTAATTTTCAAGCAAATACTTGTGCTAGCTATCTCTCACATTTCTATGTATTTATAACTTAATGTTTGTGATGTTTTAATAGATTTTTTTTATTTGCTTTGTTTTGTCAAAGAACCAAAACTATATTTTTTATTAATTTTTTGTACTATCCCTAATTTAACGTTTTTCATTTTAAAAACTATCAGTCATTTTAGTGAATATAGAAATACAGAATCATATTTTATCATGTGTAATAAATTTTTGTATAATTATTGATTATAAAATTCTTAAAAATATAACATTTTCAAACTGTGGATTAAGATATGTTAAGAAAATAGATATATTTTACAGTTATTACGTTAGTTTTTAAATTTAAATTTTGACTAATCAATAAATCTTTCAATTAGAAGCAGTTCTTTTGAAAATCATTTTACAAGGATGACATATTTAATAGTAGTAGAATTCTGTAATTCATAAAGATAAACAATCCAAATATGTAAAAGTATATGTACAATGACCTTTATTGTATTGATTTTATCAGACAGATATTCCAGAATACATTTAAAGACTGTAATGTATTGTTCCTATTTGTAAATTCCATTTAACTAAAATGTCTTGTTGGAAATATGCAACAGTCGTAAACAAATAAATCATACCTTAATAGTGTTAACGTACAATGATGAAAACAACTATGACAGAAGAATGGATGATGAATTTGTTTATTAATCTGTAAGTTAATTTGTCTTATAAATATCTTGCAATATACAAGGAACAAGAAACCTATTATACTGGATAGATTTCAAACAATATATTGTTGAACAAAACCCTTTAGATTGAGCAATCATTTCTACTGAATAAAAGATTTTCAATCATCTTAAATGGTTATCTTTCAGGTTCTAAAATGTAAATAATTTAAAATATAAGATTCTGCATTTTATAATTTCATTTTTTATACACATACCTAGCTTTTCATTTTAAACTATGTTCTAGAACCTGAATATGATCATTTAAGATGGTAAAAAATGTTTGTTCATTAAAAATTGTTTGCTAGATTTAAAGATTTTTGTTTGTTTTGAATTGTCTGCACAAAAAATATGAAGCAAGAGTGATGCAATGTATTTAAAAGAAAATTTAAGCAGAAATGGCAATACTTAAATCATGTTGCAATATATTGTCAGAAGTTACTTTCAAATAAACTGTTTCTATTTTTGTAGTAAACAGATGGTAACCTGCTATTTAGAAAATATATTTTGATTAGTAAAGTTTACTATATATCTACTGACTAGCTTCTTACTTTTACTACCCTTTACTATCTTTTACTTCTTACTACCCTTTTACTGGAAATTAATAATTAATTCTTAATTACTGTAAAAGTTTAAATATAATATTGTAATCAGGGCCATTAAGAAGGGGAGCTAGGAATTTTTCTCTGGGCCCAAAGTAAACATTGGGCCCATAGTGGAATCACTATAGGCCTCAAAGTTTAATAGCCCCAAAATCTACCTATGGGGCTATTTTTACTAATGGAAAGTAAAATCTTTAAGACTACTTTTTGTTAATAAAGAAGCATTCTACATGTTTCTTTTATTCAAAAAAACAAAAGAGGCCCATTCTACTCTATAGCCCCATACAAGCTTGACAGCACTTATTTTAACCATTATATTTAGTTTATTCTTTTTCATCATATTTTAAAACTAGACTTTTTAAGTAAGAAGTAACATTTTATAAAAATTCTTAAACCAATAATTATGCATGAAATGTCTACTTAAATTATTTTGCAATATTTTATATAAATGTGTACAGATCATTCCAAAAATTAAACCTCATACTTTTAAATAGAAATATTTTTTACTCTCTAGTTTGTATTTTTTTTTCTAGTTCTCTTCATATTTAATTCATTCATTTTCTGCAAACACTATATTTTGTTAAATTTAGTGACTATTACACACATCTGTTAGGAGTAATGTGTTCTATTTGAGAATAAAGCAATAGAAACAAGCAATTATTTATTGTGACATTGTCACAATTCCGGGCTGCAATTTTTAGTCATACTTTTTAGTTAATCGGGACCTCCTGCCCCTAAGATTTCCATATCTGGTCTTAGATTTCATCTATCTAACTCCGTTCTCAAGATTAAGGAAAGACAGATAGATGACAGTAGGAATTTATGGATCTACAATTTTTTTCAAATTACAGCTCAAATATGTTTAAGTATTGCAAAATAGTATATGAGGACAATGCTATTAAATGTAGTTCTGTAGATTACACAATAGTCTCCTAAAAATAGACAGGAAGCTATTCATTATACTCATATATTCATTATATATAACTTACAATGCTAAGCAAATATATCTGTAATAACAGAACTGTCACATTATAAACAAGAACATCATAGAACTGTGGTGACTAATTCCGAACATTGCCACAGAATTATTCATCTTTTTTAATAAGACGAAAGAAATGGTTCTTTAATGGCAGCAACTAAAAACTGATTAAGGAATGTATATCCCAAGTTTTATCAAATGGTTATTCAAGTATTTTTTCTTTTTTTCAAGATGACAGAAATTAAAAGATGATTTTATGGAAAAATAGTGTTTCATTTCTAAATTTTCTACCTATGAAATAATGTTATAGGATTAAGATTAATTTTTAAAAGATTGCAAGGCATTACTTTTGGAATGATCTTTTTTAATGATAGAATGTTAATGGAATATAGTTACAATTTTCATATAATGAAATATATAAGAAAAGTATTTCTTGACTAAATAGATTGAATTAGATAAATATGCTTCTTATTGCAGTTGTGTTAATGATAAGTTACCTCTTATCAAAAACATTTATTTAAACATAAACACATAGAATTCCTATATGTAATCAACTTTTATATACATTGAAAATTAGATAGCATTAATGAAAGAAAAGAACATCTTAAGTACTTTTTATATTGAAGTTTATAAAAATAAATTCATGTTATCTTTTCATTTGTTTATTTTTATAACATTAGATAAGAAATTGCAAAAATGCAAAAAAATATCAAGTGTCTTTCAATGAAAAGATAACCATAATTCTTCTTTTAAAACATACAATGATGCAGAAAGATAGAAAATAGAAAATAAACCATATACATGAATAATAAAAGTACACAAAACAGAAAGATGTTTGAGGAGAGATGAGGAAGAAAGGAAGGAATTTGCATATTATGAAGTTATATTAACTATCAACTGAATTAAAATAAACTACCATTTTTCCTTTTGTTTATCTACTTTTGTTTTTTTTTCTCCTCTATCCTTACCCAGCAATCCATTGGTAGTTGTTTGGATGAGCCAGGCTTGTTTTCCCATTTTCCCTGAGCCTATTCAAAACAAAAATTATAATAGTGAAGAGCTTCTTGATTACTTAAATATTTAAACTTTTTATTGTTACATTTAACTTAGAAATCAAATGAAGCTGTTAAAAAATGTTTAAAAATAATTTTAAATTGGTGCTATGAAAAATTAATGCAAAGAAAGAAGTTGAATTATGCATTAGTTAATGCTGAAAATTTTACATATTAAATGCATAAGCATGAATCTAAATTAAGAAAAAAAACTTTATAGGCTGAAACCCTACGTGCATTTCACAAATACGACCATTACAGACAATGAAACTAAAACATAGCAAAACAAAAATACATTTATCACATGCTATCTGAGACTATATTTTCCTACTTTGATGTGGAATTTCAAAAATTTTAGATAAATTTTGAATTATTTTAATAAATATTTAATATGAAATTATGAAAAATATCTTAACACTTACATTTGGTGAGTATTAACTAATGTTTTTAAATGTTTATATAAATTATTCAATTCTTCTCAAGACAATTCATTTTAAAATTTCTAATTCTGAACATAATTCTCAATAGATAATCAAGGAGTAATTGATTTATATGCAAATGTGTTTCTCACTTAATAATTGTTTTCACTCATTTTGAATGACAACTAACTTATCTTGGAATCAGGAAACAACTGAGTAACGTTTAATTAATGTAGTAGTTTAAATAGTAAATTAAAATCTGATTAATTTTATAATACAACAGTACAAGTAGAACTGACTAATACTTCAATCTGTTTAGGATTTATCACATATAAATGATCTAATAGTTTTTGAAATAAAATAAAATATTGCATCAAATAATAGATTTTCATTATTTTCTATAACAAAATGAAAGATTTGACCATAATTTAAAAGAAATCTTTTTCATTTCAGATATTTTGGTTGCTTTTCTAATGCAATTTAATATTTAATTTTACTGTTAAAACTTGTGAAATTTCTAATGATGTGCTGCTTGGAAGAGATAAACAATGAATTATCTTAAAACATTTAAACTTAGAATACTTAGTATTCTATTTATTGGAAGGTTATTCAAATTCTGAAATAATGCAACAAAGAAAGTTATGAAAAACTATTTCCTGCTGAATTTAGCTATTATTTATATTTTACAAATTTATTTTCTTATAGCAGCAATACTACTGTAAAACAGTGTGGGATGTAGAAAGTTAAATTCCATAGAATTGGAATAATTTCATACAATAAAAATGCACTAAATTAATAGAGAATACAAATATGAAACCAAAAATATGTCTTATTCTGAAAAATAATATCTAATTTAGTAATTTTGATCCAATTAATCAGATGAATTAACTGATTCTTTTCAATAATAATCAGTATTATTTTAAATAATGTAATCCTATAAGCAGTCTATTTATATACAGTATTGCAATAATTTACATTTGTAAAATATAAGCATATTTGAACAGAACGCTAGACAATGTTGAAAAGCATATAAAATATTGTTAATAAATTATTAAAGAAAGGAACTATTCTTAATTTTTATTTGAAGAAAATGATTTTGAATTATTTTATTAACCTCAAACTTGCTTGAATTAAGAGTGATTAAAAACAAAAATTTACTCTTAGGCAGGGCCGTCGAGAGTTTGTTTAGTACTCGGGGGTATAGTTGCCCTCCTTTTGCCATTTTTTTAAACAAATAAAATGTGTAGAAAATTGCTTTATTAATAAAAAGCAGTCTTAAAGATTTTATTTTTCTTCTTAGTAAAAATAACATTAATTTTTAGGGGTAGGAATCACTATGGGCCCAGTTTTCTCTCGGCCTGGAGAAAAGTCTCCAGCTCCCCCTCTCAATGACCCTGCTCTTAGACATTTCATTTCTACACAAATAATAGAAATTTCTTGAATTTTTAGTAATTCTTTGTAAATTTACACAATGAATTTGAATATTATTTTTTATTTTGTTATAAGATTGTATTCTGAAAAAGTATTTGTCTTTAAAACTAAATAATTAGTTGTAATTCCACACCAACATCAATAAATAGCATTAGTTTGTAAATTTTCTATATCCCAGAAGATATATTTTGAAAAATATTAGTTTTTATATCCATTTTAAATATGCAATAATAAAACTTTTTGAAAAAATACTAAAGACTTTCAAGAACATTGNAATGAAATTTGAAGTTAAGATACCTGGAGGAAAATGCATTCGACTCGAGTTTTAAGTTTCCTAATCTCATTAGAAAACATATGGAGGATGTCCAAACAATTTTATTCTCTTGCATTATCAATAAAACAGTTTTTCATAAAAATATTTGAATATACTGTAGTGTACATACGAAGAAGTTATCAGCCTCAAATAGATCTTCAGATTTTGATTTTCAACAATATTTTTAAGGACTTTGAAATTTTTAACAATGCTTGAATACATTTTTTAGAATAAAAATGCAAAAACTTCATAATATGCATTAATTGTTAAACTGCGTACTTATAAAATCTAGTTCTAACTTAAGTACATACGTAACTTATATAATCTAGTTCTAACTTAAGTCTATGAATTCTCGATTTATAAAATTAATATAGATTATATACTAAATTTAGAGATTTAATTTAACAAAACTAATTTTTTGGACGCTTATCAGTTTCCACTTAAAAAATTTTAAAGCTAACGATAAATTAAATTTAAATATTTGAAATTAGATTTCATCTCATGTAATGTATGTTAAATTAAGCTTTAATTTCATCAGAAGATATTTTATCTTGCAATAATATAAAATTTTGATTTTTTTAATTAAAAATGAAATTACAAATAAATAAATGTAATTAATTTTCTTTTCCAAAATCTAAATTAATCTTCGTATTTAGTTTTGATACATCCTCTCAAGATGTTGTAGATGCTACATAATTGCTCCATATATAATGTTTGTATTTTAACAATTTTTTTTTAATTTGTACGTTAAAAAAATGTAATTGAAGAAGTATATATATATGGTATGCTGCAAGAAATTAAGCATTATTAGTTCTTTCACGGAATCTTCACGAAATAAATTACATTAGTTTAATCATTTTTCACATCCAACCGAAATAACTTTATCAGCAATGATGTTATGAGGGTAGTGTAATTTTTTTTCTGAGTGCTTTAAAATTAACTCGGGATATTTGATAAGAATTTTAGAAGGTAATATGCAAACTGTGATTACTTCCCAGTTTTATACCATTTTTTCAATAAATTTTTATTTATATTGAAGATGATACACTGTAAATGGTTTCCAATAACGAGCAAAAATAATGTCCACATTTCAAAGGTTATCTCAATCTTATCATACAATTTTATTATATCAAATTATTTGTTATTATATACATCAAAAATCTTCTTTTGAAATATTTATCATTTTTCAATATATATAAGTAAATTTCACGATATTCCTAGTTTAAACGGTGATAGTATAATACACTGTTGCTGTGTATTGAATTCTTTTCTATAGCATGATATAACATTATTATAATATACCTCTTATCTGTGTTGAATATTCGTTCTTACAAATACCGATATCTGCATATTATATAGTGCTAATAATTTTATAAAATATAGAATTATATATATAAACACACACAAACAAACCAATACTTTTTTCTATATATACATATATTTGAAGAGAGAGAGAATATAAAGCAGCGACTTTCTTTTTTCTGTAACATGTAGCCTGTATATAAATAGATACATACTGAAAAAGAAAGTATCTGCTATCTCTACAATCAATATTAAAATATTGAATTTTAATATTGATTGATAAATATCTTAATCTGTATCTATTTTTAATCATATTTTAGCACCAAAAAGTAGTTTAAAATCATTTGTATTACAATCTTGCCAGTTCTTTTATTTGTAATAAGGACATTCAAACAGAATTGAATTATTGATTATTGAAGACAGTGAATCTGTATTTTCTTAAATTCTTTTCTAGCACAAAATTTATTCAACATAGAATTAAATACAACTAATCATTATTAAAATATAATCAGTTGAGTAAAGCTTTTTTGAAAATGATTTAATTAATAAAAAAAATTGTTATTGTTTGTAATAAAATAGACATAGCAATGATTATCTAAGAAAGTGGTTCCCAGTCTTTTTGGACTTACAGCGTACTTAATCAAGCAAAGATTGTAGCACACTGTATTGTTAAATATCACTAGTTATCATGGAGTTAATACTTTTTCCATGATAGTTTAATGAAATAAATTTCCAAAATATAAGGTAGGTTGATCTAACAAGGCCCAGATGATGAATTAACATGTTTTGCTGATGCTAGGCAGCAGATGATACTGCAGTATCTTCACTTGTCACAGATGGGTTGATAGAAGTTTCATTATTGTTTGAGGATGAGTCAATTATCTACATTTATTCAATGTTCAGGAAAGTTGTAAGTCTTAGCTCGCTGTTATAAAAATATCTGTCTGAAAAATTATTTCAAGTACATTTAGGAAGGGTCATAAAATATCAGTGCTGTGAAGAAAATTAAGGAAAAGAACAGTCATGTATATGTGAAGGAAAGGAGACTTGCCATATTCATTATGGATAAGTTACATTAGTGTTATTTTTATTAAGAAAAGTACAAAATTTGAAAATTTTTATTGAAATTTGTTCTTACAGGATTAACTATGCCTCTACAAGAAGAAAAGAGGAAACTAGACTCCTGACGATATGGCCACGGCCATGGATTATATGAATAAAGGAGGAAGTCAAAGAAAAGTAATTAGTAAGTTTAACATTTATCATTGAATTTTAGGGAGCCATTTAAAAACAGATAGAACAAATATGAGAATAGAGAAAAGTCCACTGCTATTAGAAGCATAGGAACAGAAGATAGTACAATGAACTTTATGTTTTACAAACATTGGAGTTTCCTGATCCCTAAAAGATATTGTGTTTCCGAAATTAACAATATACAAACTCCTTTTAATTAAAATCAAGAATGAATTCATGATGGATTCATTGGTTATCAAACCTGAGAGTGTGGTTGT